ATCAGAAGATGGAAGGACCTCCCATGCTCATGGATTGGAAGAATTAATACTATGAAAATGACCATCCTACCAAAAGCAATACATAGATTCAATGCAATCCCAATCAAAATCCCCATGACAAGCTTCACAGAATTAGAAAAACAATCCTTGAATTCGTATGAATGCACAAAAGACCCCAGATAGCCAAAGCAACCCTGAGCACAAAGAGCAAAGCTGGGGGATTACTATACCAGATCTCAATCTAGGTTTTCCCTTTAATATGATTCTAAGTTGTGTAGACATGGTACCAGCACAAAAATAGACCCATAGATCAATGGAACAAAATTGAAGACCCAAATATGAGTAAATGTGATTTCAGCCACCTGATATTAGACAAAGTGGCCAAGATTATTCACTGGAAGAAAGTCAGCATGTTCAGCAAATGGTGCTGGAAAAACTGAACCTGCACCTGTAGAAGAATGAAACTAAACCTCTATCTTTCCACCCTGAACAAAAGTCAATTCCAAATGGATCAAAGACCTCAATGTAAAGCCTGAAACTCTGAAACTGTTAGATGAAAACATTGGGAAAAACCAACAAGATATAGGTGTAGGAAAGGATTTTCTAAACCGGACATCAACTGCTCAGGAAACAAGGGCAAGAATTAATAAATGGGACCTCATTAACCTATTCATTAAACTAAAAAGCTTCTGTACATCAAAGGAGGCAACCAGGGATATGAATAGAAAACTCACAGAGTGAGAGAAAATCTTTACCAATGACACATCTGACAGCGGTTTAATATCCAGAATCTATAACGTACTCAAAAAACAGAGAATCAAGACAAGAAGCAACCCAATTAAAAGATGGGCTAAGGAGTTGAACAGAGAGTTCTCAAAAGAAGAAGTAAAGATGGCTATGAAACATCTTAAAAGATGCTCAACATCACTAATAATTAGGGAAATGCAAATTAAAACCACTTTAAGATTTCCTCTTACCCCAGTCAGACTGGCTAAGATCAAGAGAACAAATGATAGCCAAATGTTGGAGAGGATGTGGGGAACGGGGAACACTCATCCACTGCTGGTAAGGCTGCAATCTGGTTCAAACCCTATGGAAAGCAGTGTGGAGAACTCTTAAAAAACTACAAATGAACCTACCATTTGACCCAGTTATACCACTCCTTGACATATACCAAAGAACTCATCCTATTGCACAGACACTTGTACATGCACGTTTGTTGCTGCTCTCTTCACAATAGCTAAGAGATGGAAGCAACCTAAGTGTCCCTCAATTGACGAGTGGATAATGAAAATGTGGTTCATTTATACAATGGAGTTTTACTCAGCAGTAAAGAAAG